ATAGATAGATAGATAGATAGATAGATAGATAGATAGATAGATAATTTTTTTTCTTTCTACGACCCACTAATTCCTTTATTCTGGGTGGAGTCGGGGCAACTGAATGAAGCAGAGAGTTTACTGGCCAGATGCCCTTCTTGATGCCTACATGGAGTTTGCAGCAAATATTTTCTCTTTGCAACCTGATAAACCTCTACCACTGATTAGAACTGAACTCTCAACATCCGAGTGGAAAGGTTGAAAATATTCTTATTTTCCTTTAAAAAATCATTTTTCATGTTTACTTCCATATTCCATTTAGCAGTGTTTTGAGGTTGTTTTTCAAACCAAGAGAAAATGAAAATACAATTAAATTGCAAACTATATTTCTAGACAGAATACTAAATTCATCAACCTCTATCAAAAAGCCTGGGTGGGCACCTAAAAAAAAGTATTTCCTAGTAATGAAAAGATAATAGTGACAGTATCAGAAATATCACAAATCGAATTTTCTCCACTGCAATTTGCTTGCCTTCAGAGGGCCGGGGGACCTGAAGACAAGGTGTCATGGCAGCAAACATTTCTTCCTGTTCTTGGATTCTAAGTTAGATACTGCTTTAAAAAGAAGCCTTTGGTGAGAAATGGGATCCCAGAACAGGTTATTCCTCTGAGAGCTAAGGCTGTTTCTGTATTAAAAACAGGCCTGAATAAAACAAATGCTGGTAATCAGCTTTTGTCTAAGAATACCAAACCGCCTCATTCACCTTTTCCAGGAAAAGACTGAAATAAAAGACTAAATATAAAGCAAACAAGCACTGATCCCTCTACATCTTTTAGCTAAAATAGATGAGGCGATTAACACTGACCACAGTTTTTGCATGAGATAAAGAAGATGGTTGAAAGTATCCTACGGAGATAAGGCTTGGAATAATTTAAATATCTGTCCTGATTTTTCCGCCAGATGCTACTGATTTCCTTCAGATGCTTTAACCTTTTCAATTAAATATTATGTGCAGTTAGACTCTTTGTATAAAATTGAGCAAGTACCCTCTAGTTCTTTTCCCATTTCTTCTAAAACACCCAGAGGCTACACAATCGAAATGATTTCTCAGGAAAACAAGGTCAGAATGAGAGGAAGAGTACTGTCTTAGAATTCTCATACTGTGTACTCAGTCATCCCATCCCAATCAAAAGGTAAGAAATTAACTCTACCCCTTCTGAATGATTCGGACTGTGGTATATCTGCACAGGAAGAATGTCTAAAGGCCATTTTCCTTTAAATTAATGCTTGTGTATCTGTGTGTCTTAGTAACTGAAGAATGCTTTCCCAACATTCTAGAGGGACCTCCATCACTCATTCTCTTGATGGTTGGCTGATTTAACAAATAAGTATCTATTTGATAAGCCTGTAACCCAGTATTTCACAACTTCTGGAATTTTCAAGCTGGGCTAGAAAATGGCAGAATGCTGGTCAATTTCATCTGATGATTTTTAAAATATGCTGTTTCTACTGTTGTCTGATAAAGAGTTACTAAACTCGTACAATGTTTGGTGACCTTTTTGGTCAAAACAAAATTATTGCCTTCATGAGTATGAAGGATGTTAAGGTTATATTCTAATCATAATTGAACTGTCCAG